GCCCACCACTGCAGATCGAGCTTGCAACACGGGCATGTGCCCTGACTGAGAATCGAACCCAGATCTCCTGGATCCTAGGTCAATGCTCAACCACAGAGCCACACTCAGCTGGGCAAAATACATATTTTTAAAGTTTCTGCTTTCTAATTTAGGCTCTATACTTTCTGACTCAGTTAAAGCAAATGAGACCCTGCCTGGGGCTTTGGAAATTCAAAGTTATCAGTGCAAGCAACAAGGAATTCTGGATAGATAAGAAGCATGTGCCAAAAACAAAAACAGTAAACCTATTTAGAAGAAACTTTATAAAGCTGGAACCTGAAAAACATTTCATGGAATTAAATCCTGTTCTCTATTTAGCAATCATGAAACTCATTTTGAAGATCCTTTTAAAACAACTTGGAGACATTTGCTTAGTCTAATTCTTGTGAAACAGTTGATAATCTTTAAAGACCTTAGACTAGCAGTTCATCTTAGCTAACAGTATTCGAATCAATGCTCTATTTTAGAAGAGAGATAACATTCATCTCACTTTATTAGTCACAAGAGTCTTGGAATTATGTTCTCTATGTATGAAAGTAAATAAATTGAGGATTCTAGCATATTCTGTATTGAATGTGAGACATACCAAACATACCAGAGATAGTTGCCTATCTCTGCTTAAGATAAAGGTGGTTCTAGAATTTGCAGGCAGAACCTAACTCTGGCATTGAAAGCTTCAAATGTAACAAACTAGATGCAGACAGAAGCTGGTCAGGATGCCAGGCCAGCAGAGCAAAAGACCTCCATTCTCGGCTGCTTGTAGAGAGACAATACGTATGCAAATGGCTAGGCTGAACATGGGAAAGGACATCACTTCTCTCTCCTTCTAAAGACCTTTCTTTCTCATAAAAGACTGACAACAACTGACATGGAAGAGAGATCTGGATGCAGAAAGAAACACGGAAATCCTCCTCTAGTCAGTTTTAGGTTTTCATTCATTTCAGAGCTTTTCCTCGCTTCCCTCCCCCAGCCCCACACGAATTGTCACTAGGTCAAAGGAGGGACAAGAAATAAGCATGCCTTGAAATTCAACTATTTTGTCCTTTAAAGTATGTATTATTCAAAGTTTCCAAGTACACTACATCTTGAACTTTGTGTATCAGAACTCACAACATGAAATATATTTTACATCAGAACCCAGTACACACAACACACACACAATTTAAAACAAAAGTGTCATCAAAGTTACCCTTACTACATGCAATGAATGCATGTCTATTTTATGTCATCTTCTTTTTAAATGCTGGCTACATACCACAAATTGATTTCATGGTGGATGGGTTACAATCTATAATTTCAGAAACACTGCCATAGAACTCGCATGTGGTCTGGCCTCTGCCTACCTCTCTAACCACATCTCAGGCTATTCTCTACCATGCTGCCCCACGCATCACCTAATTTCTATTCTTTTTTTTTTTTTTTACATTAAATCATAGGTCAGTTCCTGAAGCATGCTCTCGCTGCCTCAGGGCCTTTGATCTTGTTGTTAGTGCCCCCTGGAACCTTTCCCCAGATCACTGCACTTCATCACTCAGGCCTCAGGACAAAAATTACTTCCTCAGAGGGGCCTCACTGATCATCCAATTGGAAAAACCACAAACACAAGTCCAGCCCACACAGAGGGTAGGGAGAGACATTCACTGCTCTTCCGGTTGGTGGGAAGTCTGAATGACAAAATGTAAGGCAGGCACCAAAAAACCAGGACTCTGCAAACGTCCCTTTCCACTTCCCTGTGCCACTGCACCAGTCACTGAATTCCAGCTGTTGAAATTCCATTCCATGTGCTTCAGGATGGCAGGCGGGTGCCATCCTCCAATGTCCCCCAAATACTTTGTACCCTCTCAGAGCACTTACCACATTGTTTCTCATAATTTTTACTCATTGAGCAAATATCTGAGTGCCTAATGTGGTCTAAGCAATCATGAAGATCCATTCCTCTAACAGTTCACAATTTAGTAAGGGTGATAAATCTACACATAAATAATTTCAACTGAATGTGGTATGTACAGTAACAGAGATGTGTGCTGGGAAAAGTGGCAGCAAAGAAGAATGAAGTGTCAACTTTCTTTGAGTAGATATGTGAGGCATCCCAGGAGGAGACGCCCCTGGCCAGCGCCTGGGAGGAGCAAGAGGAGCCTGGCAAGCAAACAAGGGGATAAGGGCGTTCTGTGTAGACAGAACCACATGAGCCAAGTAGAGGGAGCAAGCTCCCTGCCCGTCTGAATTTACTTGCTATGTTCAATGAAAGGCAAGTAGCTAGAAAGCAAGGGGCTAAAAGGAAGTCTAGGAAAGTGGGGAGCATGGTGGGGCAGAAGGGTCAGTGCTGGATCACAGAGGGCCTAGTGTGCTGTTCCAGAAACTTTGAATTTTACACTGTAGGGAACAGGGAGTCTAGAGTTGTAAAGAGGTGAGTAACAGGAACAGATCTGGATTCTAGAAAACTCCTTCTCGTGGCAGAGAAAACACGGGTTGGGGAATTGTCAGACCAACACCGTTACAACAGTCCAGGCAAGAAACGAGGAGATCTTAAAATACACGGGTTTACTGAGCAACTGGATGTGGAGACACAGGAGAGGAGGGAAAGCAGGATAAGGCTGCCTTTTGGCTTAGGTTATAACACGGAGGCATCGTTCACTAACTTGGGGAAACAAGAGAAACCAGGTGGGGAGAGGGCAGGTTCGGTTCCGGTCACACTGAGTGGGGGCCTGTGTGGAAGCCCCTGGCCAGGCCTCCGGCGGTCAGTAAGCCCGGGCGCTAGGGGAACCGTGCGTGCACCAAGTCACCCAGGGGAAAGGCGGGTGACAGGTGACGCTAACTGAGGACTGAGGCCCGGAGGGTGGCGTTTTAAAAAAAGGGGCTAATTTCCAAAGTGTACAAAGAACTCATAGCACTCAGCAAGAGAAAGACAAACAACCCAATTAAGAAATGGGCAAAGGACTTAAATAGACACTTCTCCAAAGAGGACATACGGATGGCCAAGAGACACATGAATAAACGCTCGACATCGCTAATCATCAGAGAGATGCAAATTAAAACCACAATGAGGTATCACTTCACACCTGCCAGAATGGCTGCCATCAATAAATCAACAAACAACATGTGCTGGCGAGGGTGTGGAGAAAGGGGAGCCCTAGTACACTGCTGGTGGGAATGCAGACTGGTGCAATCACTATGGAAAACAGTATGGAGGTTCCTCAAAAAATTAAAAATGGAGCTGCCTTTCAACCCAGTGATTCCACTCCTAGGAATGTATCCTAAGAATCCTGAAACATTCATCAGAAAGGATATATGTACCCCGATGTTCACAGCAGCATAGTTTACAATAGCTAAGATCTGGAAACAGCCCAAGTGCCCATCAGTAGATGAGTGGATAAAAAAGCTGTGGGACATTTACACCATGGAATACTACGCAGCTGTAAAGAAGAAGAATCTCGTACCCTTTGGGACAGTATGGATGGACCTGGAGAATATTATGCTAAGTGAAATAAGCCAGGCAGCGAAAGACAAATATCACATGATCTCGCTTATACGTGGAATCTAAAGAACTTAATAAACTGATGAACAGAATAGATTCAATGACATGGAAGCATAGAGGAGACTGATGAATGTCAGAGGGATGGAGGAGGGCGGGTGGGTGGAGGGGGAGAGAGTAACCAAAGAATTTATGTGCATATATACACAACCCAAGGACACGGACAATGGTGGGGAGAGGGACTGGGGAGGGGGAAGGAACGGGTCATTGGGGAGAAAAAGGGACATCTGTAATATTTTAAACAATAATAAAACTTAAAAAAAAAAAGCGGGCACAGCCAGAGGGAGGAAAAAGAGGGAACGGACCGCCGTGAATGCCCGCCGCGGCAGAGCCCACGGAACCTTCGAGAATGACCGGAGCTGGCACTAAAGAGGCCATTAGCATCCAGCAGCGAACCTGAGCGAGGCCTCCGACGGGAGCGTGGCTGGGACACGCCCCGGGCGCGACGCGCTTTGGTTTTATTTCCTTAAGATGTATGATTTTAACACCGAGGAGAAGGAAGTGGAGAGGAAAAGCCTAAACTCGCAGAAAAAGAGAGACACGTGAAAGGCCTCGTCGTGAATGGCGGGCCTGGGATCCAAGGAAAAGATGGACGGCCACCCTCCCGCACCTTCCAGGCTGAGCCGCGGGCCTGGAGGCGGACGGAAGACGGGTCCGCGCAGCTGCGGGGCTTGAGGTGGAAGAAACGGCCGCCAGGCTCCGCGGGGCTCGGCGCGGGGCGGGGCTCGCGGAGGGAGGGTCCGAACAGGCCCGGGAAAGGCCGGGCGGAGGTGACGGGGACCCCGAGCAGCGGCGCCGAGAACCGGGGCGCCGAGCGGGGCTCTGCGGCGGAACTCACAGCCGCACCCACCTGACAACCGTCAGCTGTCTGTCCCGCAGTCCGTCGTTCGCAAACGTTTAAAAGCCTTGGTAATTACGTGAATTAGAACTCTGGCGCCCCCACACAGGTGAGCGAATGAAAATCACCCGCAGGCTTTTGAAAAGCAAATCCTGACCCTGAGCCGTATTCCTGTTAATTCCCAGTTTCTGGGGGCGAAGCTCAGGCACGTGGATCTTCCAGAGGCTCGCCAGGCATCCAGACAGGGCGCTCCTGCAGAAACCACGACCCAGCGGGCAACGGCCGGAGACCCCGGCGATGGGGGCAGCGGGCGCGCGCCACCACAGCCCGTGAAGGAAGCGCGCTACGTGAAAAATGCGACGAGGAAAACGCAAACATTCAAAAGAGTTTGTTCGGAGCGATGCTTCACCTCAGGCTGTTAGACTCAGTGTCACCCCTAAACTTTCCGTTACATTACTCTAGGGGCTCAGCAGCCCCAAAGAGACAGCCGGGACACCCCGAGTGCACACACACGCCAGACCCAGCACCGGGGACGCTGGGACACCAGGACCCCGGAGCCGTTCTTCTGACCTCGCCTGGCACTCACCATAGTCTCAGGAGCTCAGCACTAGGAAATAGGTCGCGCTGCGACAGGAAGACACCAGCACCTACACCGACGCCCGGTTACTCTGGCAACAGAGCCCCGCCTACTGCTGGACGCTGCGAGTAAGCTTCTGCCGCACTCCCTCGTCCTTATTGGCTGAGAGTAATCAAAGCTCCGCCCACCCTGTCGACGGGCCCGCCCCTTGACGCCGTGGCCCGGGGCGACGGAACACCGCCTACCTCTTTCTAGCGTCATCACTTCCGTTTCGTTGACAGGTAACCCGGAAGTTCAAGCCAATATCCAGCTAGGGTCCAAATACTCTATAGTTTACTTTATTTTTTTAAGTATATCTTTATTGATTTCAGAGAGAGGTAAGGAGAGGGAAAGAGAGAGAAACATCAATGATGAGAGAGTCATTGGTTGAGCCCGCAACCCGGGCATGTGCCCTGACCCGGAATCGAACCCCGATCGCCTGGATCCTAGGTCAACGCTCAACCGCTGAGCCACCCCCGGCTGGGCTCTATAGTTTACTTTAAAATAGGCACCTGTCCAGTTTTCAGTCACTGAAGCCTTACACCGTATGGCCTGTGTTACCTGAGTTTAAACGCACCGCAGAGTGTTACCTGTTCCTTCCGGATACGTATTCCGGAAACGAAACCCCGGGTAATGAAGCGGAAGTGATGTCAGAAGGCCCGGCGGGTCGGCTCGGAATGTGAGGGGACTGACTGGGCGGAGAAGTTTAGCCGGGGATTTCGAGCCGGACCGCCGGGAGAGGGGAGCCCCGGGGACAGGAAGCGTGAGAATCTTAGAGGTGAGTCCTGGCGCGGGCTGGCGGGACCGAGGCGACGTCGACAGTGACGGAGGTCCAGGTTAGAGTTCGATGTCCAAGCTTTTGGATCTAAGGCTTGACCGGGTCCGAACTTCAGATGCGACTTCCCGGGACGGCAGAAGTTGACAGGAGTGTCCCTGCCTCTCCTGCCGCCTGTCGCCCACTCACCCCACACCCGCCGCCGCCCCCTGCTCGCGGTGTCGCCCACAGACCCCCGAGGTGCTGGTCCATTCCGCTCTGCATCTTCCCAGCGCGGCCTCGGGGCGCACTGCTCAATCGGAGGGACTTTGGAGACCCGCTTTCGCGGCAGCCGGAGGAGGGTGGGCGGGGAGGTAGTCACGGGAGCCGCGGGGCGGCGTATGGCCGGTGCTCATCGGCGAGTGCTCAGCGACCGTTTCTGAGGTGAAACCAGCCGCCCTCTGCTGCGCAGTTCATCACATATGATTAACATTGCATTAGTATCACCTTCCTCCCCACGTTCTCCGGTGGATCTTAGTCTATACTGAAAGGCCAGCCATGTGTACAGTTCTGAAAGCACATGCTATGCCATTTTAATTTTATTGCTGAGAAAGTGCAAATTGAGTTATTATGAATATTTGTATTGTTAAACATCTAAACAGAAGCTCCTCTCTGATACACAGAGTGAGCAAATTGGTGTCAGTAATGTCTCCTAAGAAATTAATTGCTTTAAGATTTCTGTTGTAGTATCAATGGTGCAAGAGCCCCTACAATAGCTTAAATACTATTTCTGAACTAAATTCAGAACACACAGCCAATAATTTAGAGTATACTGGTGAGGGCAGTGAAGCAGAAATGCCATCCCTGATTTTTTTGAGACATTTGGCAACTTTAGCAATATCACCTGTTAAAAAAGCGATATGAGGGACACTCTCTTTCTAAATGCATGTTACTAAGTACAGAATAAGTAGAATATCATTTAAATTACAGGCACTTAGTGAATGTGTTTATATAGTATTGTTTTAATTCTTTCATTTTATACATTTTTAGGTTTTTCAGTAGAAGTGTTGGGGTGCATTTTCATTGGTTTAAAAATGACGACTCTTGAGAGTTTAGAAACTAAAGGTAAGTCTTCTTTTGATAACATTTATTTATTTATTTATTTAAATCTATATCTTTATTGCTTTCAGAGAGAGGAAGGGAGAGAGAAACATCAATGATGAGTCGTCCTTGATTAGCTGGCTCCTGCACGCCCCCTACTGGGGATCAAGCTCACAACCTGGGCATGTGCCCTGACCAGGAATCTACCTCCATCTCCTGGATCTTAGGTGGATGCTCAACCACTAAGCCATGTCTGGCCAGGCGTGACAACTTTTTTAAACATGACATTTATGATGATAGGAGGAAGGAATGTTTGAGCCAACTGAGTAAATCTCACAGAGCCCTGGGGAATCATCTGAGTCTCAGATCTCTTCGTGTTTATTGCATAATGCAATGTTTACATTTTAGTGCTTCAGATATACAATTGAAAATTAGCATCGTTTGGTATTAGGTGAGAACTACTGTCAAACATTTGGTGTAAAAGCAAAGTTTTACAGCTGTGTCCTCTGTCCACTAGAAGATTAAACAAGAAGATGGGCAATGAGCAGGTATAAAAGACCTCTTTCTTGTTGCATTGGCTTGCTGGGGCTGCAATAACAAAGTACCACAAACTGGTGCCATAAATAACATATTGTCTCACAGTTCTGGAGGCTGTAAGTTCAAGACTGAGGTGTTGGCAGGGCCATGGTCCCCCTCCAAGGGCACCAGGGAAGGATCTGTTCCAAGCCTCTCCTAGTTTCTAGTGGTTTTCCGGCAATTTTTGGTATTCCTTGGCATGATCACCCTGTCTTTACATTCACATGGCATCCTCCCTGTGTATTTCTCTGTGACAAAATTTTTCCTTTTGATAAGGATATCAATCATATTGGATTAAGGGCTCACCCTACTCCAGTATGATCTCATCTTAACTAATTACATCTGCAATGACCCTGTTCCCAAATAAGGTCACATTCTGAAGTATGGAGAGCCTGAACTTCCACATTCGAATATTTGGGGAGATGCAATTCAAGTCATAACACTTGCTAACTACAGTAGTTACTATTTAGTCCTGCCTAGCTTGTTCTCTCTATAACTTTTCATACTGTTTACCATTCCCACATTTTGAAGTACTTTCTGTTCTTGGCTTCCATGACATCACTCCTATTTTCAGCCTTCTCTAGCCCTTCCCTGTCCAATGCACTAACAACATGTGGCTATTTGAGTTTAAATGAATACTTTTAAAAATTAAAAATTTAGTTTCTCAGTCACACTAGCCACATCACAGGTTCTCAGTAGCCACATGTGGCTGGTGGCTGTTGTATTAGAAAGTGCAGATGAAGGACATTTCCATCTTTAAAGAAAGTTCCACTGGACATCGCTGCTGTAGCCCTGTCTTCCCTGTTCCTTTTTCATCTTCCTCTTTGAAATATTGTTTTTTCAGCCCACTTTCTCTTCTCTCAAGGCTTCAGAGTTATTCTACAAGAATGACTTCCAAATATATCTTTAGCTCCGATGTTTTCCCTTGTGATTCAGACCCTCATAGCCCACTGCCCACCCCATCTTCACTTAACGTCAGTAACAGTCTTAGCATGTCACAAAGTGAACTCCTTGTTCAGGCTATGCTTGGATGGAGTGAGTTCTGGAGGTTGGGACTGTCAGTGTGAGATGGGCAACTATTTTCTGAAGCCAACTTTGTAGCAAGCAAACCTCCCACAGCAAATTCTTTAAGGGGGTTAAGTAAGGGGGGTTAAATATGTTTAGGAAGCAAGGGAGAGAAGAGGCCAATAAATATTTAGCTGAGCTTAATTCAGCTGCATGCAGCGCATTTCAGAGTTACCAGAAGACTTTTATATTATTAGGATAAGCAAACCAGAGACTGTGATGAAAGTAATAAACTGGGGATTAATAGGAAATAAGAGCAATTAAATGGTAACTAATGTGAAAGCAGTTAGCATGGTGCTTGGTTAAAAAACAGAAACTAATACAATATTATCATTAGTGACTAAAAGTTAATTACTGCAAAGCCTCTGAAATTAAATTATTTTTATTGTTATTGCTTCTTTGTAATGAGGATTAGGATTTTACAGTACTTTCACATACATTGTTTCATTCGATCTTAATTTTGCAGTAAGCTAGGTAATTCAGCTTTTCCTCCTGTTCCTACTTAACATATGTTAAGTGTCCTTAGTGAACAAAAGGAACTTGTATCACATGGCCTGAGAAAAGGTGCACTTATCATGGTTGACATTTGTCAGCTGTCTGCACTTCCTGTAACTGACTCAGAAGATAACAGGATTGGTTTATAATGACAACTTTCCATGGAAGTTTGAGCAGTACTGTGGTGAGGGGGAGACATCCTTGCTGCTAGGGCTATTTCTGGAAGGGAAGCATGCACTATCCAGGAGCAATGAGAGGATTAGAGGCAAGGTTAAAATGAAAACTGAAGACATTAGAGTCGGGCAGTTTAGAGAAAGTAGACCAAATAGGAGAGACTAAGGCATTTAAACATTTATAATTCCATAAATAGACTAATTTTAATGCTAGTTCCCTGAGTAATAGGTATTAGGTGAAAAAGTATTCCATGGGCAGATAAATTTGGGAAATGCTGGATTAAAGGGGATTATACTGCAGGACCTCTCGAAGCCTTTAATGTACGAATGTACACTGAAGCTCTGAGCATTGCCCACAGCCTTTTGACCAGGGAACTCTAGTCATGAAGCCTGTGACAGGAAGAATGTTCAGATTCCACATCAGTAAATGTGGGCTTAACTCTTAAGTCCAACATCTATAACAGTTTCTAATTTAATAGTAACTAACTAAACTATTAGGTAATATTGGTGACATTTAAAAGAATATTGATTTAAAATTACCAATTGATGATCCCTAATATGTTTAACTGTTTTATAGCTGAATCTGCATATGTTCTGAAAAATTTGTTGGCTATAACTGAGTTTTTTGCTAATGTCTTAGTGTAGAGGGAAAAAAATTACTGTTTTTAAATGAGTTAGTTATTGGATGTTAAATGAAATTTTCTAGGGAGTGTGATAATGACAGTGAACTTCAGCAAGCACTAATTCATCTGTTCTGTGCCAAGCACCATTTCACTAAGCTGATGAGACAAAGACTAGGAGGCAGCCCAGCCTGGTGAGCTCCTAGCACTCTGGTCTGCACAGGAAGGGCTGGTTGGAAGACACCCTGGTGTTGTTGGCCTTGCTCTGAGGGCACCAAGGGAAGAGGAGTTAAGGTTAGGGTTAGCCCGAGGTTCCACAGTGTGTGGCAGTAGGGACTTGAGTTGCTTTGACTCCTAGTCTGGTGTTCTTTCTACTATACCATCATGCTGATTGAGGGTGTCTGTCTTCATAGATTTATACTTTTATGAAAAAAAGAGAAATGTTTAATAAACCAAAAAATCATATTCTTTTTGCCTGAATATTCTAGAGCAGGGCTTGGAAATTCAGGCCCCTTCGGGCCTCCCGCGAACATTCAGTCAGTTTGATAATCAAGAGCACTAACCAAATCCCACCTAAGCCAAGAGTTATCCCAAGTCAAAAAGAATTCTGTTCTCTTTATTAGACCTACATTACCAAAAAAAAACTTTACTCAATTATTATAGTTTGAATTTCATCTATAAAATTTGGGGTTTTTTCTTCTTATATAAGTACATAATGTGCTCAATATTTATTTTCTGGCCCTTTACAGAAAAAGCTTGCCAACCCCTTTGTAGAGTATTGTTTATTCTTTCCCTGCCTTTCACCATCCTTGGGGAAGGTAAGAAGAGTGAGCCAGGAACCTTAGACATTTCATCTTGGGTAAATGATCACAGGTGGAAGTACTGTTGGTACACAATTGAACTGTTTTGTTGGTTCCCTTCAAAGAGTGGAGAGTAGTAGGGCTGATGTTTTGCTTTAGGTCAGCATTGCTCATAATTATGGAGCTGGCACCACACAGCATGGCCCTCCCACTTGAGAGAAGGTAATTGCTCATGAATGTGCCCTGGATTGTGCCCAGTGCATGTGTAATAAAGGTTTCTATGTGTGTCATGAGGAAAAATAGAATTATGAAAGGTGAGCCCCCAGGTGAGGAGCTGTGAAGCCCTGACCCTGTGCTTGTGTGTACCGGTGAGCTGGAATCATGGTCGTTACTACAGGGAGCTGCCAGGTGATACATAGTACAAGACAGGGGCAGGAAAGAAACAAATATTTTTCTTATTTGACTGGAGCAAAGGCAGTGTCCTGGTGAGCAGAGCTTCCTTCCAGAAGTTGTCTGAACCAAAGACAGACAGCCAGGTTTGCTTATAATTTAGTTCACTTGAGCAAATTAATTTGGTAAACGTGTGGGGCAGTGCACCGAGCACTATGGAGGAAAGGAATGGGTGCCACCATTTATTAAATGCCTGCTACTTACTAGTGTGCCAGACACCTTATATCTGAACTTGAACTTAGGACACTACATGCAGCGGGTAAGGCCCAGTCTTTGTGGACAGACTAGTTAGAATTCTTCTGCCTCTCAGCACACTAGCTGTGTGGTGTGACCTTAGGGAAGTTCCTAGACCTCCTTGTGCCCCCCATTTTCCTCATAGATAAAACAGAGCTAATCATACCCACCACAGGGTGATTATAAGGATTAAATGAGTTACATGGAAAGTATTTAGAATAGTATTTGGCACATGGCAAGTCTTTTATAACTGTTGGTTATCTGTTACTTAATATTTTCTCATTCAATATTCAGATTTAATATTACCAAGATGTAAATATTATTTAATTAACTTCATGGAAGTTAAAACTGAAGCTAAGATCATTGTAGGATTTTCTCCAGGTAGGATTTTCTTCAGGTACCTGAATTCCAGGTGATGGAATTCAAAGCCAGATTTAACACCAGGTTCCTTCCACTTGTGTAGAGCATGATGCCTGCTCTTAATGTTCTTACCAGACTTACTGGGAAAGTGAGATTAGCACATACAAACCCTTAACATGATAACTTTGGTTCATGATTAAAGTTCAAACTGAATTTGAGACAGTAAGAGCCACATTCTTCAGAGAGTGGGCCAGAGCAGTTGGGAAGATTAAAAGCAAAGAGTGGAGTTGAAGCTGACTTCTTAGGGATAACTAAGAATCACAGTGAGTGACAAAAGAAGCCATTTAAGAGAATAAGACATGCCCAGCCGGCGTGGGTCAGCAGTTGAGCATCGACCTACAATCCAGGAAATCGGGGTTCATTCCTGGTCAGGGCACCTGCCTGGGTTGTGGGCTGGATCCCCAGTGGGGGGCGTGCAGGAGGCAGCCAATCAATGACTCTCTAATCATTGATGTTTCTATCTCTCTCTCCCTCTCCCTTCCTCTCTCTGAAATAAAGATATATTTAAAAAGAGAGAGAATAAGATAAAGATTAGGGTCCTAGGACTGAGAGTATTGAATAGTCCTGTTGGGTAGTTTGTGTGAAGCATTCTTTGCCAAGAGTTCAAAAAAACAGATAAATCTATTTTGAAGTTAATGGTTTCAAATATGCATACATATAGCTGATATTTATTATTTTACAGTTAGCTCACATTATTGAGTGTCTACAGCATGCCATGCTCTTGATCTCAGTGTGTTCTTTCTGACCACAACCCTGTAGCACAACTGCTACTATCTCCATTTTGCAGGTTAGGATGCCGAGATGCATGGAGGGTTAAGTTATTTACCTGGGGTCACACTAGGAAATGGAAGTCAGAGCCAAATACCCTGGTTCCAAATCTCCTGCATTTCTGCCAAGAGAGAAGCCATTTATTTAAGGGAGGCCTGAACCTGTAGGACATTGTGAATCTTTTTTTGACACGATTATTTTGAAAATTACTTTTCACCCTGAATTTTTCCATTCTTCTGAATGCCAGTAATTCTGAATGGAGGGTGAGGTATGTCTTGCCTTTTTCAGTATGTAGCTTATGTTTTGTGTTCCCTTTTTCAGTCACCCTGACTTCAACCCCAATCCGAGGAGCAGGAGATGGAATGGAAACTGAGGAGTCACCTAAGTCTGTTGAAGTCACCTCTGGAGTCCAGCCGATAAAGCCCCATGTCCTTCAGAGTCCACGAAAGAAAGCAGGGACATCAGAGAGCCCTGGAGTCCTGCAGCTGGGCAAGATCCTCACTGAGAGAGCGGTGGAAGTCGAAGCTGTGAGAATAGTAGTTCCCAAAGCTGCTATAACCCACGTTGTCCCCAAAAAGAATGTCAAGGTTAAGTCTCTCGGCCGTCAGTCAGGGGGGGCTTCAGAGGCGAGGCAGGAGCTCGCAGAGGCAAAGCACACCCTGGGGAAGCTCAAGGACTCTGAAAGGAGGCTGCTGCAGGACATAGAGGGCCTTTCCAACCAGCTCCGAGTGCAGACGGAGGTAAGCGCCACTGCGCCTCGGCTCGGCCACGCCTCACACCTGGCCCCCTGAGCCTGCAAGCTAGGGAACTCCATCTCCTCCTGGGAAAGCAGTTGTCACTCACTTTAGCTGTCACCTCTAGAATGCTACTTCTTAAATCGCGCGTTTTCCCTCGGGGCCTCGTGTAGAACTAGTGTATGTCAGGAACTAATCTCTAACCCACGTTGAAGAGGCGAGTGGGAGGTGCTTTGGGCAAAACACCTGTAAGCTGTAAAGAGGTTACAGTTGTAAACTTCCAGCCAAAGATGGACCCAGTCAGGCTTCGAAACTGACTCATTACCAAACCCTGTTGTAAGGGTCCATAAATTCCAGGTAGTTTGCCCTTGTATACATAATGCTCAGAATAAAGAGAAGGGTGGGCTAGTATTGGTCTCGTCATTGTAAATGGAAAACTGTCTGTGATGCTTGCTTGTATCTCTGTAACATTTACATCTTAGTAGGCGTTGCCTTGGCCTCTGCTTTTCCCCCATTAGACTACAATTTGTCTAACGGATGTTAATCTTTGTGATACTGTGGTGAGTGGTTCTTTCCCAAATATATTTTAATATATTTTTAACAACTAATTTCTAATTATAAAGTTATCTGTAAACAATTTGCAAAATACAGAAAAACAAAGAAAATAGTGCCACCTTAGTTGTTAACAGAATATTCTGTTACAAATAGCCACAATTCTTCAGTGGCTGCACCATAAACTAGCACCTGTGATTAAACGTGTCTGTTTTAACTTCTGCATTTTCAATATCAGTGTAAAGAATGTGCTTGGAGAGAATCCTGAATTGCTTCCTTTGCTTAAATTATTAAAAGGAAAAATCCTAGGGCCAAAGAAATTATTTTTTAAACGTTGAATAAGATTTAAAAAACCACATAAAACATTCACTGTCATATTTTTTAACAAAACTTACTGTTTAGTTTTCTAATTTTTCCCCTTTAGGTGTTGACTGGAAGCAGTTTATTATAAGAGGCTGTTTATCACCACATGGGCTATAGATAGAGTAGGTCTGGTTAGTATGTTCATATTATAAAGCTTAAATATTTAATATCACTTTTTTACCTATACCGTAAGTAAGAGGGGTCCAGATTACATAAAACAGTTTCTCTTCTGTTCACTCTGCTCCATTATAGTCCCTGATGCTCTTCTGAGCATGTTACATTGGTCATGTGCTCTTCTAGGTCAACCGTGAGTTAAAAAAGCTGCTGGTGGCCTCTGTTGGCAATGATCTTCAGTATCACTTTGAGCGTCTAGCCCGTGAGAAAAATCAGCTTATTTTAGAAAATGAAGCCCTAAGTCAAAATACAGCGCAGCTCGCAGAGCAGTTAGAACGTATGTCAATACAGTGTGACGTATGGCGAAGCAAATTCCTCGCGAGCAGGTATGTTCTATTTTAAATAGTGTTTCATTTTTTAGTTTTTGATCTATAAACTTTTTAACCCATAACACAAGAAAGTCGATTGTTAGTGTGAAAAATTCTGAGTCACATCGAAGTGCTTCTTACGTTATTTAGGATGTGGACTCTCCCTCCTGTGGATGGAAGCCGTCTCCCTCAGTGGAGAAGTGATAGCATCGGGACCTCCTCATTCCAGAATCCTAAATTACTGCTCTATAGGAGAAATCACTCCTGCTACAATATTTAATACCGAAACAAAATTGTAAAGTCGGACATCTAGTAAATACTGAAATCACAATAAAACAAACCAGATTATTTCTCTGGAGAACTCAAATGTCATTGCCACTCTGTAAAAGAGTGTTCTTTGTCCTTCATGCTCTATTCTCATAGTAGTAACATGTAACAGAGCTTCCCAGCCCTTTCTCTCCGTGCATAAATAGAGAAGGGTGACGCGTGTGGCCTAGTGGCCCATGGACACACAGAGTTGGGAAACTGCTAGAAACTCTGATTCTTTGTCTGTTTATCCCTCCTCCTTCCAACACTGAGTTGCTGGAGAACAGGATCAGGCGTTATCCAACTGTACTCCCCGTGCTTAGCCAGTGTTTCACACACAATATGCTTAATTAAAGCCAACCACCTGGCAACATCTCTCAAAACCCAGAGGTCCCTAGGCTGAACTTTAAGAACCACTGATTGTGGTGAATAAATTCTAAGGAAAGTGTCTTTTCATGCCTTAATATCTGTGATACCTTCTAGTAACTGACTACTCTCTTAAAGTCCTTGATTTGTTTTCTAACTGTGCTAATATAGGATGCTATTTAGAGAAATGAACTTACTGTTTATTGTCTTAGAATGAAAGTTAATTAATTCTTGAACAGTTTAAGAGGCAGCAGATTATTGTAATATGTAACTTTTTTAACATCCTGATCAAAACTGACAGTAACATTCTAATGGCAGTAAAATTATACTTTTTTGATATTTTAGTTGATTTAATCATTCATTATCAAAATTGTTTTATTTAAAGGAATTTAGTGGTTGCTGTGATTTGCGACTTTATTTTTAAGATTTTCAGCTGAATAAACATCCTTAAAATTTTGCTTCAGTTCCATCACTAGGGAACTGGTTAAATAAAGTCTGGTACATCCAATAAGAAGAAAACATGAAGCTTTTTTTTTTTTTTTTTTAAGGGGATGAGATAGCTCTATATGTGCTAATATGAAAAACTCACCAAGATAAACTATTAGGTGGGGGGGAAAGCAAGGTATAGAAAAGTTTCTATTAAATAATCTCATTTTTGTAAATAAAAAGAATATATTTATTTTTAACACATGCTTTTATGTTGAATATACATAAATTTTTTTCTGGAAAAATGTCTAAGAAACGTTTTTGGTCACATATAAAAGCAGGGTGGGGACTCTGGACAGGAGGGAAGGCCTAGGTTTTCTTCCATAGAAACTTTTCTGTGTTATTTTAATATTTTTCTTAGAGCAAAGAGGTCACTGGATGGTAGGAAAATAGTGCACTTTTGTTTTCCTCTAAACTGTTTTGTATTTAAAATATTTGGTTAACATTATTTTTTTCAAAATTTGATCAATCTGGAGGAAGATTGATGTACATTTCAAAAATCACTATTTATAAGGAAAGTCCCTTCCCTTTGTCGTTTTGTAAATATTTTAATTGAATCCCTTCAGTGAGTCTCAGCTTGTAACCATTTAAAATGATTTTTAGTGAAGATTCAAAAACTGGGAAGAAATTTGACTATGTTAAATCTTCTGTGAAGCTTTTGAAAATGATAGTCGCCAAGGTCATATATTAACTTTGCAATGTGTTGTCATCAGACAATTTATAGGTAAGGTTTCAATCTCTTCCAGGGTTATGGCAGATGAGTTAACCAACTCCAGGGCAGTTCTGCAGCGCCAGCACCGTGACACAGAGGGTGCTCTACGGGACCTCCTGAGCGAACGGGAGCAGCTTCGCCAGGGAATGAGAGCCACCCACAAGTATGGCCCTTGTTTACATCCTGGACTCTCCTGCGTTCTCCTGCACTTCCTGTTCCTGTGACAGTTCTGTAGTGTTGCTGCATTTAATAACCTGTTGAGCATATACTTTGAGTAGCATTTCAAAATAGATGGCCAGGAGAGGGAGGAAGACTGAAAAATAAAAGGTCCGCCTCTTACCTTCTTAACTGGGGAGAGAATTAGTTATATCTATAAAAGAAGAACTCCCTGGATTTAAAGATCATTTTTTAAATATTTGCAACACTTCTGTATAACTTTTGGTAGACAGAGACTGTACCTGTTCTTCCTGTAGAAGAAGATCTTTCTGAGGACCACTCTACAGAATTAGAGCTTGTTATCATGTCCATGTGTGCCAGAACTGTCAAAATTGATGGTCTTCCTTCAAAGTGCTTTGTGCTTCTATATAATTGATTTATTGCAAATCAGATCAGTACAGGTCAAGAGGAAATCATAGGGGAAATTGGAAGAATGAAAACTCAGTATATCAAAATATCAGATTTTGTGGGAGGCAACTAAAGCACTGTTTAGAGGGAAATTTATCATTTTATTTATTTATTTACTTACTTACTTACTTACTTACTTATTCTCATTTATTTTCCATTGCTTTTTTCAGAGAGAGGGGAAGGGAGGGAACAAGGAGGAGAGAGAGAGAGAGAAAGAAACATCAGTGTGAGAGAGACAAATCGACTGGTTGCCTCCCGCACATTTCCTGACCGGGGTCGGGGAGAGAACCCCCAACTGCGATCTCCTGGATCATAGGTCAGTGTTCAAGCACTGAGCCACACCAGCTGAGCAGGGCTATAACTTTAAGTGCTTATCTTAGAAAAGAACAAAGGTCTTGTCAGGGATCTAAGCTTCCTCAAGAAACACAGAGAGCAAATGAAGCAAAAGAAGAAAACAGTAGGATGAGAGCAGAAATAATAAAAATAGAAAGCCAAATGCTGCTTCTCTGAAAAGATAAAATTAAGAAATCTCAGTATAATCAGGGAAAAAAATACACATGACCAGTATCAGGAATGAGAAGGAGGGGGCTGCACTGCAGATTCTACAGACACAAAAAGATAACGGGCACATTGTGAACAACTCTGTGCCAATAAATTCAACAGCTTAGATGAAATGGACAGACTCCTTAAAAGATACGAACTACCAAAGGGTGCTCGGGAACAGATAGCCTGACTAGCACAACCTATTAAAACAGTTGTATTTATAGTTAAACACCTTCTAGTAAATGAAACCCCAGGACTAGAAGGGTTCACTAGTGAATACTAGCAAATGTCTCAGGAAGAAACAAAACCAAATTTACACAAAGTCTTCTAGGAAAGAGAGAAGGAAGGAACACTTTCCCACTCATTATATGAGGCGAGCATCATCTTGATACCAGAACCAGACACTGCAAGAGGACCACAGACCAATATCCTTCATGAACATACATGCAAAAATCCTTAACAGAATTTTAACGAATCAAATCCAACCATATACAGTCACGTGCTGCATGAAGACATTTTGGGCAATGATGGACCTACAGTGGTCACATAAAATTATAATGGAGCCTAGTGACGTGGTGGCCATCATAAGGTTGGCTCACATGCTTGTGATGCTGGTGAAAACAAACTTAGTGCACTGCTGGTCACATACAACACGACCAGTCCCTTTACTGATGATCCTAAATGACGGCGTTACTACTCTGTGTATTTCCTATACTATACTTTTTTATCATTACTTTAGAGTGTACTCTTTCCACTTAGAAACAGTTTGCTGTCAGTACGCCACGTTGCGCCAGCAGCAGCCTCATTCAATATCTCTTTATTGCATCATTTTCTCTTGTGCTTGATTTAATCTCGTGTTGTACAGTAACCTGCTATACAAGTTTATAGCCCAGGAGCAATAGGCTGTACCATACAGCCCAGGTGTGCAGCAGGCTGTACCATCTAGGTGTGTGTAAGTTCACTCTATGACCACAGTGATGAAATTGTCTAACAACGCATTTCTCAGAAGATACCCCGTCATTAAGTGGAGCATGACTGTATAAAAAAGGTTTATACATCATGCCCAAGTAAGTTTTAGCCTAGGAATTGTAGGTTGGTATGTCATTCAAAATCAATTAATGCAACTCACCAGAAAAGAAATACCATATGAACATCTCAATAGGTGCACAAATCAAACCAGTGCTTCTATATAACTGAGTGTACTAGTATATTTTACCTATACTAAAATGTGAGAACAGAAGAGTACTGTTAAGTGATTTCTAGATAATAACCTAATAAATCAATACGTGCTTTCTGGAATCTATTACAAAAGATACGTGATTTCAGAAATATGTTTCTCATTCATTGAATAGTCCTGATTTTCTATTTTGTTCTCTTACTAATGTTCAGTGTTCATGTGTGTTCTGTGCAGATTATTGGAGGAGCTCTTAGTTTCCTTGCAGTGGGGAAGAGAGCAAACCTACTATCCCAGTACTCAACCTCAAAGCACAGCGGAACTAGCATTAACAAATCACAAGTTGGCAAAAGCAGTAAATGCTCATCTTCTGGGAAATGTTGGAACTAACAGTCAAAAAAAGATTCCTCCAACAGTTGAATTCTGCAGCACCCCAGCAGAAAAAATGGCTGAAACGGTAAAACATTTTTTGCATGATCTGTGGAATTTCTAACACTGTCTCTCACTGAAGGTGGCATGTTCTAGTGGAAAGTGCTTGGCACTGGGGGTTCAGGGATATGGGATCTAAACACAATTCTCATGCAAACGAACTTGTGATCTTGAAAATTATTTCCTCTCTGAGCTTTAATTTTCTCGAATATGATTATTCTGTTGTTAAGGAGAAAACTATAATTGTCTTGAAAGAGAGCCTTTTTTAGCCTTTTCTTGAGTTCATTTTGATATGAAAACTGTAGAATTATTTCTAACTTAGTAATCATGAGTAGATAATTACTTTGATCTAAGAAATTGTAATTCCCACATGTAGATGTGAATGTGCCAAATACTGCAGAATCATAGAGTGTAGACTTGGTACATACAGTCCTGGGTGAATTCAGGGTTCACGTAGGTGACCTGCCAAATACTGTGGTCTCACAGTTCTATGAGCACAACCAAGTTCACTTCCATTGCATTTCAGTATTCAACTCCCATGCTCCAGTCTTAGCCCTTGTCATTAACTAGAACTGTTCCACTGTTAAAATCTTCAACTCAGCACCCGTGCAATGATCTGTGATCTTAACTTTTCTTCCCAGCTCTGATTCCTTCATTCTGATGAACCCATTTCTTAATTGCATCATAATTTTCCCCCTATGATCCCTACATTTTTTTCTTCATTTTATCAGCTCACTGTGCTGGCTTTTTTCTTGCCGTAGCTTGCAAAGTCCCTTTGTCTCTTACCTTCTCCTGGGTACCCAGAAGACTGCAGTCCTATGTCAGTTCAATTGTCTGTCTTCTTTGTTTCTGTACCCACCAAACTCATCAGCAGGTGACTTTGGTTCCTTACATACAGAAGAAAAAGAGGGCAGAGGCAGAAAGCTCCATCAAGGTCCCACTTGATATCTAAATGCCTGTCTGTATGGCAACCAGCCTTCCATACATACCTCTTTCTGGAAAAGGTGTCCCCTCCTCTTTAGAGCTCAGCTCCCCTCCAAGCTCAGCAGGCCTCCCCCCAACAGTTACCCCTTCTCTCTGCTGGCTCTGTTTCTGGCTTACAAACATACCCAGGTGTCCATCATCTAAAAAGAAGAATCTTCCCTCTGCACTAAGTTCTCTGCAGATGGCCTTATCACCTTCCCTTCGCAATCAAGTCTTAGACAAGCTGACTGTACTCGTTGCTTACATACCGTCCACTCCTCAATTCCTCCTTTCTGCTTATCCTAGTAGACTTCCAGCTCCACTATTCTCAGAGTCCCCTTACAAAGGCCATGAATGTTTAATGACTGTGTTGTCATAGTTTACTACATGTCACTTCTGTGACTACTCTTTCTTGGCCCCCATGTGACGTCTGGGACCCTTCTTTCTCAGGCTGTGGGGCAGAGGCATCCTCTCCCTGGGCCCGCTCCTGAGCTTTTCTTCCCATGACAGACATTCCCTATTCTCTGGGGACAACCCTTTTCCCATAGCTTCCTGCTTATGACTTTAACTGAGACTCTTTTTGAGCTCAGAAGACATATCCAGGGAGATATCTCCATTTGTTTGTTCCAAAAACAGCTAAAAATAGAACCGCCTCTGTTCTCCTTGCTTTTGTATTCGTGTCCTACCCCTTCCAAGGAGGAGGAGACGGAAACCCAGCTGCTTCCTCTCCACTGCCCCCCACCCTAGTGACCTATACCTACTATGTAGGGGTGCTCTGAGGGTTCCATAAAGTAAGGCATATGAAGCCCACAGTAGATTCCAGCATAGTGTAATTTCTCAGTCCTGTTGGTTTTAAAAATCCTGTTAGTTCTCTCTAATTTGTTCTCTCTCCCAAGTCCAGCCACTGACCTCCAACCTGGACTGTTGCAATAGCCTCCTTACCAATATCCCTGCCTGCTTTTCACTTGCCAGAGTTATTTCAAAAATGCCAACCCCCCGCCAAAAAATGTCAGTGCATTCGTCCTGGTACTCCTGCTCAGACAGCTCCCAGGCTCCCTTACTGAATTCGTGTAGAAGGATTTTCATAATCTTTACTCCATTTTCCCTCCTCAAGGGTCATTTCCCAGGTGTACCCCCCTCACAAATACACACAATTGACATTCCAGTTGACCACTTTCTATTCCACAGATAGGCCATTGTCTCTCACCCGCCTGTCCATACTATTCCTTCTGTCTCGACCGTCCTTCCAGCACCTCTGTACCTTGAAGAATCAGCCCTCCCTGAATCCCACTGGCAAACCTAGATGTTCCTTCCTCCAGGCTTCCATTGCATTTTGTGTATATTTATTATAGCTCTTGACCATGTAAAATTGCCGTTGTTTGATTCCCCAAACTGTAAGCTTTCTAAGGTCAGGGGCTCTGTCTGATATGTCTTCAAGGTCTGGTAGAATCCTTGGCACATAGTAGGTACCGAGCTGTTTACTAAATGAATCAGCACCTAAAACTAAACTCCTCGCCTTCATTCTTTCATTCCCCTTCTCTATTCTCTTTGTTGGAAGTTGTGTCACTGCCACTGTGGTTGCCGCCCATAGCGTCTGGTAGAGCTGCCTGCTCCTTCTTTCCTGAGGCACTCCCTTCCCTTGGCTCAGGGAACCAGGGCTTTTCCCAGTTCCTTTCCGATTGCACTGCCGCCTCCTCTCCATAACCCACCCTCGTCACTTGGTGATAGTCGGGAGAAGGTGAACGTGAGAGGCAGGGACCACAAGCCAGCGTTATCATGTTATCCTTGCTCTCGCTTGACGTTTTTCAACCCAAAGTTCCTCCTGTGGTGGGTCTCAGTAAGCGAAGCAGAATTAGGAGAGTCAGAGCAGAAGAGTTAGGGAGCGTGGTGTCCATGAAACTCAAGAAACAAGAACATGACGTGAGCATGAAATACTGCATGTAAATTAGTAAGAAATGAAAAGTCTTTGATTCTTTTAAGTAATGATCAAAACCTTTGAAGTAGGATTTCAATAGAGGCATCCAGGTAGAATCCTGATTTCAAGCAGCTACATGAAAAACTGAAGAAGGAAGGAGGTGGGTACTTTTTATTAAGGATCAAAACAGACGTCACATAAGGTAGAATTGATGTAACCTTATCTTCTATATTTTCACCAGTATCCATAAGAGAATATTCATTTCTTCATTTTAAAGAAATAGGTCAACTAGGTGATGTAATAACTGGACTTCATTGTTAAATTTAGAACCTTCTGAGAAAAGGGATAAGTTCTCTCATCAATCAAGTTCCGCATTCAGATGTTATTTTTATGGTAGTTACATACTAATAAAATGGAGCTTTATAGGTAGTTATACCTCAATAAAACCTGCATACACCTGACATTACTGCTTATTTTCCTTAGGTTCTTCGCATGGACCCAGCTACCTGCACAGAAAGCTCACCTGATAATCTATTTTCTGAGTCTTCACCAACCACTTTACTTGCTACAAAGAAAAATATTGGGCGATTTCATCCCTATACTAGATATGAAAATATAACTTTCAATTGCTGCAACAGGTGCCAGGGGGAGCTTATTGCCCTTTAACTAGAGCGTGGAGGCATGCTGCAGGCCCTTGCTGCTACCAGGAGTCATTATTATTCGGAGCTGGGTGCCTATAATGTAGAAGTAATCTCACTTTCTATTTAAATCATGTATGTTCCCAAAGACGTGTCATGTACTAGACTCCAGATTACCCTTTCTCAAAAAATGTCTCAGGGTAAGAAAAGAAGGAAACTGCAAATATACCTAAAGTAGAGAATGCTTTCCAGACATCACAATGCTTTTCCTAAAGGATCCAAAAGGGAAAACATTATGTACCTTCGTTTAGGCCCCAAGTTATTGTTTATCTTGCTAAATATTTATATGAGATTTAATTTGTTACCCGAAATCAGTGATTGGCAAACTAATCATGGGCTGCCAAGCCCATTCACTTACTGTTGTCTCCGGTGGGCTCTTGTAGTACACAGTAGAGCTGTGTAGATGAAATGGGGCTGCAAAGCCTAATATATTTACTACCTGTCCTTTACAGTTTTCTGACCCCTACTCTAGAGGGGTAATTGGCAGAGGGGTTGGGGAAAGGAGTGTTTTTTCTATTGTAGGTGAATTTTGAGGAGGGGGCTACAAAGGAGGCTTAGGAAGTACTATAGGTGAAGGGACAAATCTTTTAAAAATAAGTACTATATATTAGGAAAATTAGAAATATTTTACAGCCCCATGAACATGTGCTTCAGCAAAACGTGTTCTCAGGTTGCTTTTGTGCAGGGGATTCCATATTTTGAGTGGATGCCACTTGGCATATATAAAATAGATTCTAACTATTGAGTTCATTTGGGCAAAGCAACAAAAATTTCCAATTTCATATTTAAAAATATGGTGGAGAAAGTAGGATCTTTCTAGAATACTGTACAAACTCAAACATGCAATCCATCAATTAAGTTATATTATGTAATATCTATTGTTTATTTATGATGGACAATCACAAAATACCCTTTTATAGGTCTTTAAAAACATCCATAAAATGTTTATACCAAATTATACTAATTAGTTACAGAAGTGCCTGTCAATAGAGAAATCCTCAAAAATCTGGTCAAAGTACAATATATTTTAATGTCAACCTAATGATTTTTTTTTTGGTCTGATTCATCTGAGTTATATTTATAATTTGATGTGGCAATAAATTTCTCTGTCTTCTTTATTCAGTATTGTATTTTTTGCCCAGAATGATGTATTTCAATTCAAGTCTTCATCTATCTTATAGTATTTACGCTCATTCTTCAGCCTTTTCTTTAGCTTTACTTAGTATAAAACTTAGAAGAAAACAGAGGAGAAGCTTCATGTTGTGGGTTTGGCAGTGATTTCTCAGATAAGACACCAGAAGCACAGGCAACAAAAACAAATAAAAAAGATAAATTGAACTTCATCAAAATTAAAAACTTTCGTACATCAGAGGACACACTATCAACAGGAAAAAAAGGCTACCCACAGAATGAGAGAAAATATTTGTAAACCATATATCCAATACAGGTCCAGCGTCAGAATAAATAAAGAACTACACCTCAATAACCAAAACACAACCCAGTTTTTTAAATGGGCAAAGGACATAAATAGGCATTTCTCAAAAACTATACTAATGTGCAATAAGAACATCAAAAAATGCTCAATATCACCAGTCCTTAGGGAAATGCAAATTGGGCACTTCACACCCACTGGGATGGCTATTACCAAATAAGCAAAATACTGAGGTAAGGGTGTGGGAACATGAAATGGTGCAAACACGACTGAAGACAGTATGTCAGTTCCTCAAAAAAGTAAATATAATTATCACATGACCCAGCAATTCCACTCCTAGGTAGGTACCCAAAAGAGTTGAAAGCAAGGAGTCAAATAGGTATTTGTATCCCAGTGTTCACAACGGCCTTACCCACAATGGCCAAAAGGTGGAAGGAACAGGTGTCCCCTGATGGATGAATGCATAGGCCAGCTGTGGTACATATGCAGGGAATAGTCAGTCTTACAAAGGAATAAATCTGATAGATGCTAGGGCATAGGTGAATCTTTAAGACATTACACTAAGTGAAACAAAAGGGCAAATAGTGTGTATGATTCCACTTATATGAGGTACCTGAAATAGTCAAATCAGAGGTGGAAGGGGGAATAGTGTTTTAGCAGGGCTCAGGGGAAAGCAGGATGGGGAGTTCTTGTTTAGTAGGTACAGAGTTCCATTTGGGATGAAAAATTATGGAGATGGAAAATAGTGATGGTTGTACAATAATATAAATGTACTTAATGCCACTGAATTGTACATTTTAAAAAATGGTGAATTTTATATCATATACATTTTACCACAATAAAAAAATTGGGGCCCTCTTGTAATCTCAGACTGGCAGCACACTTATGCAAGGGTTGGTTTAAGTGTCAGTGATAACAACAAAGATAACAATTAATTGTACTAAACAATAAAAGAAAAAGGGAGAAATCAACAACCTAACATTACACCGTAAGGAACCAGAGAAAGGGCAGCCAACCCAGAGCCCGCAGGGGGAACGGACCGGAATTAGAGCAGGAATACACAGCGAGCAGGAAAACGAGAGGGTCCAGGTTCAGGGAGCCGAAAGCAGGCTCTTGGGAAAGGTCCACAAAGCTGGCAAACCTGTCGCCAGACTAAGTTAGAAGAGAGGATACAAATAGGTTGGAAGTGAGGGGGACAGTGTTCCCAACCTCCTGTAAACAAAAGGGGCAATCGCACAGAAATGACCAAGAGAAAATTGGTGAAGTCCGAGGAACAAAAATGACCAAATCTGACTCAGAAAGAAACAAAATACGAGCAAACCCATAACGATGGATTAAATCGGCATCAAAACCCCCCAACGCTGAGTGCGATGGACGCTGGGTGAAGAGCAGGAGCCAGTTCACTGATTGTAACAAATGCACCGCTCTGGGGAGGGATGCTGGTGGGGGACATGTGGGAACTCTGCACTTTCTGCTCAGTTTTGCTGTGAACCTAAAACTGCTTTAAAAATGCGGTCTATTCAAAAAGAACCTCCTCACAAAAGTCCAGGGCCAGAAAGCTGCACTAGTGAATTCTACCAACTCTGAAAAAAAGAATTAATACCAATTCTCATCCTTTTCCAAATAAACAAAAGAGGAAGGAACAGGGAGCACTTCCCACCTCCCTCAATGAGGCCAGTGTGACTCTGATACCAAAGCCACACGAAGACACCACCAGAAGAGTACCGCAGACCAGTATCGTGAGTACAGGGGGAATACCAGCCAACTCCTGCCACCTGGCCGGGCAGTTACCAGGCTGAGCGAGATCACCCGGTGGGCAGAGCACATCAGCGGACAGGGAGAGCAGGAACCACAGCATCTTTTGCTTCACTGGATGCGGAAGGAGCTATAGGCATTGAGACGGGATTAAGCAGTTACCTTGGGCTTCCAGTTCAAGATACAAGCAGCCGGCTGGTCAGAGCCTCGCCCTTTGGCGCTCCCATGGCCCTACGGGACCTCCACTCCATCACCGCGGACGTTTACCTCCGCCCCTGCGTCCTGGGAGCTCTCCCACACATCACAGGCACTGTTCCTCCACACGGCCAATTCCTGTCTTAAATATTCCACAGATGTCTTCCAAAGTATACAAACCTTACAACTAAGCGAAAGGATTTCGCAATTATACGCATCAGAGTCTGTGAGCAAACTGCTCGCCTCAAATCTCCTCATGGGCAAAACAAGGCTGATACGACTGTTATAAGCATTACTTCAAATTATTTATGTGAAGCCTTTACAATACCAGGCACATAAGGAACTAAGCTGGCTAATTCTGCAACATACCTAAAATAGTATTATGCATAATTGTTTTTTGTTTTTTAAAGACGCAGGCTTTAAAAAACTGCTTAGCTTGCCACAGCTATGCAAATTTAAAGTTGATAAAAAAAGAACTCTGTATAAGGCCTTGAGCTGGGATTGTTTAAGTGCTCACTTCTCCTGCCTTATAAAATGTTCTATTGCAATTTTTTCATGATAATAGGAGATAAGAATAGAAATCTGTGCCTTTCTTGTGGTTCTTTCCCGCTAGAAATGTTAAAATAATTTAGAAGTAAGGGAATGAAGAATGAAGAATGTATTCATTGTTTAATCTATTGCATGGACTAAGAGGTGGTATAACACATTCCCACACCAAGAGAAGAAATTTATTTTGTCCTAATGTAAAAAAAAAAAAAAAAAAAAAATCACTGTCAACATCACCACAAAGATACATACCATGTCCATAATTTAAAGACTAACCAAAGCACACAGCCATAAAAAAATAACATCAAAATTCTGAGGATAGTGGCTTCAAAATGAAGTATTTAATAGATACCTTCAGTTGTGCTGGTCAGTAAAACGAAAAGATTTGGCTTCGTACATGTTACATAGTTGGCTCTGTAACTGTCTAGAACGCTTCGCTTCCAGTCGGAGCTGCCTGCTTCTTTCCTTGACAGCTTCCTGCTCCACTAGTTTTTCTATCCGTTTCTTTCTGAGCCACCTGTAGAAACAGATATAGTCAGATCTGGTATCAGCCTGAATATACCCTTCATGCTATCAAGTTACTGCTACAGGCAATGAAAAGAAGCTGAATTTCTTTACATTGAAATGCTGTAGTCTCAACATAAAGTATTAACAGAAAATTTTCAGGCTTCCATCCTAGGCTCACACAAGAAAGCATAGTTACATTTGATATCGAATGTTTGAAACTAAGTTTGTCTTATAATGAAATTGCCAACATTAATTTTTTTGTAATAAACACTATTTTATATGTGATATAGGTCCTATCCTTTTTTAAAAATAAGGTTTCCTCATTCATCAGAAAGGATATATGTACCCCGATGTTCATAGCAGCACAGTTTACAATAGCTAAGATCTGGAAACAGCCCAAGTGCCCATCAGTAGATGAGTGGATTAAAAAGCTGTGGGACATTCACACCATGGAATACTACGCAGCTGTAAAGAAGAATCTCATACCCTTTGGGACAGTATGGATGGACCTGGAGAATATTATGCTAAGTGAAATAAGCCAGGCAGCGAAAGAAAAATATCACATGATCTCGCTTATACGTGGAATCTAAAGAACTTAATAAACTGATGAGCAGATTAGATTCAATGACATGGAAGCATAATTGAGACTGATGAAATGTCAGAGGGATGGAGGGGGGCGAGGGCGTGGAGGGGGAGAGAGTAACCAAAGAATTTATATGCATATGTGCACAACCCAAGGACA